GTATCATAGGCGACCGTACCACATGTAATTAATGGAACTATAAGATAAAACGAGACAAAGACTTAGGTGGATCAAACTTAATTCTTCTCTTCCACTTAAATTAACAAACCCATAGGCTTTTTATGTTTTCTCTACCTTTTTCCTTGCATGATCATTGGGGGTAATCGCCTAGGAAAAAGAATATTAATATTACATTATTATTGGGTGTTAATAGAATAAGTATGGGTGGTTGGTAAATATTAAAGGAAGTAATATTGGAATTAAATTAAAGAAAATATAGAAAGGTGTAATAAGTGAAACCATGTGCCTAGGCTTTTCTCATCCAATTTGTGTCAAAAACCTCTTTCGTGTCTTTTAAATTACTTTTTGGATTTAAACTCTTTTTTATTTTAATTCATTATGCACCCTTTCAATTTAAACGATTAAATCAATATGTTCTTAGTACTTGAAAATAATTTTTGTACGACGATAACTTGGAAACTTAATTTTAAAACCCTTATTGCTTTTTGACGGGTATGCCTACCCACAAACAATGAGTAATGAATTTGACACACGCGAATTATCCAAAATTGTGTGAACATGATCTAAGATTGAATTAAAAGTATTTGCACCAAAATTTAGAAGGTAAGAAATAATATTTTGAAGTGGATTAAAATGGAAAATGTTAATTCATTACTTTGCAAGATAAAACTTGTAGGTTGATCTATGAAATTACTCCTTCATTGAAACTATAAATACAAAAGCAAGTTTAAGAGAAATTATCATGGAAAAGCTAAAACAAGTTTGCAAAGAGAAAAAGAAGAAACAAGAAAGAACTCAAATTAATTACAAATTGAAAATAACAAAAATGTAAAAATGAAGGAAGTAAAAGGAGTGTCTCTAATTCCTCTAACTTTCTCTCTTTATACAAAGGCTAACCCTAAATTAAACTTAAGCTAATAGGTTTTCAAAGTAAAATGGGTCAGAAAGCTTAATTAGGTCTAAATCCTAATAAAAAACTACTAATAGACACTTAATTATTGTAACAACATTTGAGGGTTAATTTCAAATGCCTATAACTTTCAGCTTAAAACTTCAAATCCAACAATTGAAGTGTCAAATTGAAACTCTTTATGTTAGTTTTTTAATGCAACAAAAACCATTAAAACACTCCACATGCATCAAAAGTTATGACCACTAAGTGAGCACATGTCAAAAGAACTAAATATTAGAATTGGATAGAATTACTAATTAAGGCTCAAGTAGGCCCAAACAAATAAAACTAGCCTAAAATAGTGAAGTAATCATAGAAATAATGTCAAGAGGTAGTACTAAGGATATTAAAGTGTCAATATAGTATAATTTATCAGTGACTCTGGAACCCATTTTGCTTTCAAAGATCATACTATTTTAAAAAAATAAATTTAATTTTTTCTTTAATATACTTTGGTGGTGACTCCTTTGATTTTTTAGAAAACATTTATTCCTAATCTATTTTTTCAAAAATATTTGTCATCCTATTGTGATACCTATAGTATCAGGCCTGTAGTATATTATTGACAAAAATCTGTAGTACTTTGTGAACAGTAAAATCGCGTATGTACAGGCTGATGTCATCAGTGACATCACGTTGATGTCATCGCTAACGTTATCAGTGACATCACGCTGACGCTGATGCCTTTCAAAAATTTTCTATAAAAAGGGAGCTTCATATGAAATTTTCATATCTTCTCTTCTATCCAAGGTTTTCAAAGGTTCCAAGGCCATATACCACCATTTTCTTTCATATTAAACCCTCATAAACTTATATTTTTCTCTAGATCTGTGATTCTGCATTCGTTCTAAGGGATTTGAAGTAAGTTTCTTTAAGTTGAAAGTTAGATTCACCATTCGTTTCTCTTCTCCTTTTCTTTCTCATAGAAGTTCATGATGTTCTTAGGAGAAACTCCGTTCTAAAGCCAAATCATCGGTGAATCTTGCAATAAAACAAGTAATATTCGGTAGATCTAGAGTGAATCACCGTTCCAAGGTAGGGGGAGCTTATTTTAGCCTATGAACTATATTTTGAATAGTTTGATATGCTATTATAAGAAATTTTGATATGATTTTGTTAGATCTTTTGAATAAAAGCTATTTTCTAAGTTGTAATTGCTGTTAATTGATTTAAAATGCTAAGATTTTAGCTGATCTATTGTAAACTTGCCTTAGCTGAGTTGTTAAAATAATTTTAGTGGTGCTGCATCATGTTGAGATATATGTTTTGCATCATTATAGAGTCGAGTTACATGTTTAGGTAGGTAGTAGTGTAATGGTAAGTTCATGCTGAGCTGTTGTACTGCTGTGCTGTCTGGATCCAGATACCGGAATGGGTCGCTCCCAGACCGGCTTAGTTCCTTTTAGATTACTTAGGCTGTGAAACCAGTTGAAAACCATTTTTCATGCTGTGCATTAGATGGGCTGGTAATGCATGAGGTTGTTGCTGTGAATAATATTTTGCTCTATATATACGATTTCATTTTATTTTATTTTTTGTAAGCTCACCCTTGCATTTCTTTCTATGTTATTGTGTGCGTGTGTACTGCGATGATCGTACGATGGTACGTGAACAGATGTAGTAGGTGTTGCATCTATTTCACAGGCTAAGGGGCCAGTGGAGAAATGTTAGAAGCTGAAGTCGAGTAATTTTGCATCAAAGTCCTTTTTTTTTATATATATATTTTGAGACCTCATGTAGAGGGAGCTACATAGTATAATTTTTGTGTATTTTGAATATTATGAACTAAATGTAATATTATGTTGTTCTATTAGATATTTGTTATAAGAAACTTTGTTTTATTTTTGAATGAGAAGTGAATTTTATACTTATATTCTCTATTATTTATCTATCTTAAATAAGTATGTGGTGTAGAAATAATGTTCTCAGTTCTTTATGAAAAGGATCGTAACATATAGTGCACATTCGACTAAGTTGAATCATTAAAACAAAACTTGAGTTCATACATTTAATATTTGGTATCCTAACATTTGGTGCACTTCAAAATTGTCTAAAATCTTCTAGAATCCTCCAAAAGCTAACATGTACATTTTACTTTCGCAAGTTGTATGGCATCACATTGAGTTTTTAGCTGTGTATAAGTAGCTCAAGTTGCATAATATTACAATTTTATTTTTTTTAGGAATTTTAGTTTCAATTTTCTGATTTCTCTATTTTTCTCTTTGTTTTTCCATTTTGTAATTAAGATTCCATTCTCTCTCTTCTCAATTTGTGTGAGATTGAAGGTGGATATTTTGAATACAAAAGTCGAGCTTCGATGAATGATATCTCTTTAGATTTTATTCAATGCTCATTATTTTTTCGTATTTTTGCAATGTGTTTTTGAATTTGTTGGTTAAGATATGATGCATTTTGGATGGAACTTTATGTAAGTTCGTTTCTTTTGAATTTAATTCGGTTTGCATGATGAATTATATTACTTTGTTTCTAAATTTAATGCTTCATTGATTTGGGCAATCAAACATATGAACTTAAAGCATGTTTCATTATGGAATCATTGATCGTGTGCTTGAATATGAAATAATTTGGTCATTTTTTAGTTACCTAAACATAGGAATCAAGGATTGTTAACGATTCATGTGCTTAAATGTTATTTTGAAGGTAAATTTACCTAAGACATTCAAATTTATAACTATGAATTATTGTTTTGTTTTAAAAAATTGAACATTACTACACTAAAAAATTAGACAATGCAATGTCATTATAAAAATTAAGTTGGAGTTCTGTTTTGCATAAGGTAAAATCTTTAATGAAATCTAATTTCTAACTCTGTATTTGAACTTCTATCTTAATTATCAGTGTTTTAATTCGTGAATTTAGTTTTTAGTTAATCTTTATTGTATTTCACTTTCAACTTTGATTTTGCATATGAAAATACATTTCTTTTAGTTAGTATTTTAATTTTGCATTTCTAGGAATGTTTTTACAAATTTTTTTACATTAATTTATGTTGCATCTTTCAATTTTTGCCTTTTGTCTCAATTTCCATCGTCTCATTTCTCATTTACATTATTTGTAGCAAAAAATATAAAAAAATATGTTTGTGATACTATATGATAATTAAGTTCTACACTTATTACTAAGTGAATAAGTCAATTCTCACGAGAACAATCAAATCTATACTTTTTAAAATGATTAACTTGTCGATCTTAATTTACTATTGTTAAATTGAGTTCACCAAATTTTTAACGTTGTTATTAAGAATGTATTTTTTTTTGTTTAGAAATAACTTGTCGATCTTAATTAGCTGTTTTGAACTTTATTTTTATAGTTCGTGTTTAGATGAAATGTTTCTATTAGTTATTAGTGTATTAGAAAGTGTTTTTGAATTTTAATTCATTATTTTTTTTATTTTTCTTGTGAACTTTGATGGCATAATTTTTTTTTTCTATTTCTGAATCAGTAGTTAATAAGACATATTTCTTTAGTCCCATGTATTTTTGGTTACACGCAATTTAGATTTTGTATTTTTATATTATGTAATACAATATTTTATATTTATCAATTTGTATGAAAAAAATTCTTTTATTATGAGATATCTAATTCAATTGTTAATTCTTCGTATATTTCTTATGTACATAGGAGAATTGTGTTTCACAGGATAAGAAAAAATATATGCATTAAGAAAAAATTAAAAGAACAACGTTACATTTTGATCAATCTCATTATATTAAAATAAAGAAAAATTATGTATAACTTTAAGGTATAATTATGTTATATTTTAATTTTAATTTTAATTGAAATTTTATTTTAATAATTTTTTATAATATTAAATATAAATATTTTATTAAAATAATAAACACGATAAATAGCTCTGAACAAATAAAAAATAAAAGCAGATAATGTAAGTTTTTTCCTTTCACAATTATATCTTCCCATGTGTCTCGTATAAGGCACATCATTGTTCCCTACACTGAAACCACTGCTTCACCTTAAAAACGTTTCGCGTTAGAGAAAAGAAACAGCCAAACATTCCGTTTCCTCCCTGGCATTGCCAAACTCTCCCCTAAAATGACGGAATCACCAACAATCCGATTCGGCATGATTGGATGCGCCGATATAGCCCGCAAGATTTCACGCGCCATCGCGCTCGCTCCCAACGCAACACTTTATGCCGTCGGAAGCCGCTCCCTCGACAAAGCCCGAAGATTCGCCGCGGCTAACGGCTTCCCTGACGGTGCCAAGGTCTACGGTTCGTACGAGGCTGTTCTTGATGACCCTGACGTTGATGCAGTTTACATGCCGCTCCCCACGAGCCTGCACGTGCGGTGGGCGGTGCTGGCAGCTCGCAAGAAGAAGCACGTACTGTTGGAGAAGCCTGTGGCTCTAAATGCTGCTGAGTTTGACCAGATAGTTGAAGCGTGCGAATCCAATGGAGTGCAGCTCATGGACGGTACCATGTGGATACACCATCCCCGCACTGCTTCGATGAGGGAGTTCCTCTCCGATGCCCACCGTTTTGGCCAGCTCAAATCGGTACGAGCCATTATTAAATACATTTTCTTTTAAATTAATTTTTAAATTCGATATTGATTGCGCTCGGTTAATTTTTTCATTGTAAGGAGCTTTTGGCACTTTTCTAATTTTATTAGCCATTTTCATGTGCAAGTGAATTAATTAATGATTAGCATTTATTTATTAATTAGTTTATATATATATATATATATATATTTATTTTTATTTTTTTTACTTTTTTTTTTGCTGTTTATGGGGCTAAAAGCCAAACAAATAAAACAAATTAGGGAGTGGACCTAGGGGTTCTGCTACGATAAATGTCCAAACACAAAGAGGGAAGCAAATCACTAGGGGCTTGATCAAAGCTAGCTAAGGGAGAAAGAGATTCCAAGCCAATTTTTGTTAATCTATCAGCACATTGGTTGGCTTTCCTAAATATATGACCCAATCTAATAGAATTAACCAGTTTAATACTATCTCTGACGTTACAAATTACATGATACAAAGGATGAGAAACATTAGGAATGGAATGGATGCTTCTAAGCTCTTTGTGGGATTATTTTTCAATCCAGCAAGTTTGTTGGTCATTCTGCTGGAGAATTAGCTGGATACCATGATAAATGTCCCAAAGTTCAGCTTTCAGAGTGGAGTAGGAAGGCAAGAAATTGTAGAAACCCGCCACTAGGCTGCCCTTTGATGGGACCCAAAACAGCAATGAAGGCCTTTGGAATACAAGGCCCACTATGTGGTGGGTTTACTCTTGTAGGAAGAAAGCCAATAATTAGGAAGTCTGTTATTATTCTGTTATTAGAATGCTGTTTTGAATTTGAATCAGTCAGTCAGGATATTCTGTTATTAGATTAGATTTTGAATTTGAATAAGTCAGTTAGGATATTCTGTTATTAGATTAGGTTTGTTTTATTGTTCTTTATTTAAAATTATTAGAATGCTGTTTTGAATTTGAATCAGTCAGTCAAGATATTCTGTTATTAGATTAGGTTTTGAATTTGAATAAGTCAGTTAGGATATTTTCTTATCAGATTAGGTTTGTTTTATTGTTCTTTATTTAAATGTTAGTTTGAGGAATGGAGGGGAGTTTTTCGGCTAGACTTAGGAGAGAAGAATAAAATTATCTGAGAGGAGCTTTGGCTCTGGGGGATTTTTGTAATCCTGATTCTTATCATAATCAATAAAATATCCTTTTCTTTTTCTTCAATTATTTGAGTATAGATTTTGGACCCTAACAATTGGTCCAACCTGCCGGATCACCTTTTCATGCATACAAGATCAGTGGAGAGCATGGAGGCATTAGAGGCAAGAATTCAGAGTATGGAGACCGCCTTTGCGGACTATCGAGCGCTGATGAGAGAGGAGATGAAAGAAAGAGATGCGAAGCTCTTGGAGGACATACAAAGGTTATTCCAAACCAGAAACGAGGAGGGTCCGAATCTAAATTTGCATCCTCCCAAAGCTGTACCCAATGACGAGGACAATTACCGAGCTTCAATCAAGAAGGTAGAACTGCCTCAATTTGACGGGGTTGACCCCGTTGGGTGGATTTGCAGGGCTAAAACTTACTTCGATGCCCATGGAACTTCGGAGGAGATGAAAATCCGCCTCTCAAAGTTGAGCATGGATGGTAATACTATCCATTGGTTTAATCTATGGCGGGATGAAGAAGACAATGCAACGTGGGAGTGCTTGAAGAGGTCCATGGTAACAAGATTTGGGGTCGGGAGGCTTGACAATCCCATTGAAGAGTTGGTTGCGGTTAAGCAAACCGGTTCGGTTGAGGACATAGAATCCTTTGAAATCCTTGCGTCGCAGGTGTCATCACTATTATCGGATGCTCATTTTTTGGGCTTCTTTATGAATGATCTGCGGCCAGAAATCCGAAGAAAGGTGTGGTTGCTGTCCCCAACCTCCTGGACAGCCGTGATATGCATTGCCCGCTGGGTGGAGGAAGATCTGGTCGCTGATGGAAGGTTAAAAGCGTCGGAAGCAAAGAACAGGGGCTATTATGCACCTACTCCGTTGGGGAATCAACCATTTAATAGGGATCGAAGTATCACACCCTTTGTCCGTGACAACCTCAAGGTTGGAGAGAATTTGCAGGCAGGAAACTCAATGACGGGGCCCCTTGGGTTCCTCGGGAGATCTAAATTCAAAAGGAAATTTCATGCGCATTTCCCAAACAAACAGGGGGGCGATCTCGTGGTGTAAGACACCTTCCTTTGGAGGAGTTGATGGATCGTAAAAACAAAGGTCTTTGTTTCCGCTGTGGAGAGAAATTCGGCCCTCGCCATCAATGCCCCGAAAAATCGTTGAGGTTAATCCTCTTAGATGAAGGAGAGGAGCAAGGAAAGGGTGGTGTTGTCGTGACTCTGCTGGTGGAAGAAGAGGAAAGTGAGGCCCCAATAACGTGACTATCATCAAAAATCAGTTTCCTTCATTCACTCCTGAGGACAAGAGTGGAAGTTCAGGGGGTGGTATTGATGGGACCCAAAACAGCAATGAAGGCCTTTGGAATACAAGCCCTACAAGGCCCACTGTGTGGCGGGTTTACTCTCGTAGGAAGAAAGCCAATAATTAGGAAGTCTGTTATTAGAATGCTGTTTTGAATTTGAATCAGTTAGTCAGAATATTCTGGTATTAGATTAAGTTTTGAATTTGAATAAGTCAGTTAGGATATTCTGTTATCAGATTAGGTTTGTTTTATTGTTCTTTATTTAAATGTTAGTTTGAGGAATGGAGGGGGAATTTTTCGGCTAGACTTAGGAGAGGAGAATAACATTCTCTGAGAGGAGCTTTGGCTCTGAGGGATTCTTGTAATCCTGATTCCTATCATAATCAATAAAATATCATTTTCTTTTTCTTCAATTACCTGAGTATAGATGGGCCAGTCATTCCTCTCTTTACTCTCTCTTCATTAGTGAGTAACCTACCATGGGAGATTTTTCAAAGGAAAAAAGCCACTTTAGGGGGGGTCGTCCCATTTCCAAACATGTTCAAAAACATCAGTGCCAAGGGTTGAAGGGTGAAGATTCTGAGAGATTAATTAATATGCTGATTTGATGGAGAAGTAACCATTACTAGATAAGGCCTAGAAGATTGAATCTTGCCCTCTAGATAGATTAGGAGGCTGAACTTTGGCAATTTCCTCACAGATGTGTTCAGGAAGCAGGGAATGAAGTTTATTCTAATCCCAATTGCCATTGTCAGAGAAAAAGGTCATAGGGATTTCCAAATCCCTCTCAGGGACAGGGTGCAAGGAGTGGGATCTCAGGTTCAGACAACTAGGAACCCATTTATCCATCCAAAACCTAACCAAAAGGCCATTTCCTAATCCCCAATTGAGACCCCTAAAAAATAGAGACCAAGCTGATAAAATGCTTCTCCAGAGGGGAGAAGCCCTGTTATTAAGCCTAAGTGCTAGGTCTTAACTAATAGAAAATTTATATTTCTCACATAGGACCTGAACCCATAGATCACAAGGGGATGTGTAAAGCCTTCAACATAATTTCATAATGTAGGCTTTATTAAGCATGGTATGATTTCTGAAATCTAAACCCCCTTCACTCTTTGGTTTACAAATTTTATTCCAGCCAATAAGGTGGCATTTCCTAGTGCCTAGGGATCCCCAAATGAACTTCTTACAAAGATTATTAATTTCCTCACACACAGCAGCAGGGATGATAGTAGTTTGTGTTACATAAGAGGATACTCATGAGGCATGATTGAGCCAAAACAACTCTACTAGTTAGAGAGAAAGTTTTCATCTTCCAAATGGAGAGTTTCTTCCTGATTTATCAATCAAAAAGGAAAACTGGGTCTTAGATGGTTTGTGGAAATTAATACGAATGCCTAAATATTTGCCAAATTGACTAGTGGACTTAATGCCCAAAATTTCACTAATCTGCTTTCTAAGGTCAGAATTAGTATTATTAGAGAAAAAAATTGAAGTGTTATTTCATATTGGTTAATCAAGTGGAAAGAGCAGCTTGCTGAAGATGCTACTTGGGAAGATGCTCTCACAATTTCCAGATATTATTTGCCTTGAAGACAAAGCTTCAATTGATGAGGGTCGCAATGTTAGGTCCCATGAACCTAAGTGGACAAGTCCAATCTAACTCAGTCATGGGCCTTGGATTTGGAAAACATATAGTAGGAAAAATATGACTAGGCAGAATGGGAATTAGAGAGATAAAGAAGATTTACACGCAAAGTTTCATATAGTGGAGAGAAGAGAGAGAATGAGTCAGTTCTACCTTCTTTTTTTTCTTGTTAATAGTGGGCAAGGGTGCGAAGCTTTGTAGGAGCTTTGATCTGGATATTGCAAAATTGATTCTTTAGTATTTTCTTCTTCATTAATAATACAATTCATATCCCTTTCTCAAAGAACGACGCTCGTCTAGAACTTCTGTTCTGATACTTGAATTTTATTTATTGCTTGAAACTGTATCTTGTGTGTCATGCATGAATTGGGTAATTATGCCTATTGCATAAGCAATGCCTAACCTAGTACGGAATAGATAAATAACCTTTCCCACAAATCTCTAATATTGAGCCTTATCTATGGTTGGTGGCTCTCTTCCTTACTCTTGATTTGATAATCTTTGCTTTATGGATGCTCCAGTGGCTTTGCAACGCTTACTAGTCTTCTTATGAAGGTCTCGAACATACTTCCTTTGAGAAATAAAGATGTTTTGTTGGAGTAGGAAACCTCAATACTAAGAAAGTACTTCAGCTTTCTCAAGTCCTTCATTTCAAATTGAGTTGCTAGCTTGTTCTTTAAACATTGTTTCTCGATATCATTGTCACTTATAATGATCATAGAATTCACGAAAACTAGCAAAATGGTTACCCATTTTGTGAGTGTTTTATAACAAATATATGATCACTCTAGCTTTGTCTATGTATCTCAAGGACTCCATAACTTGACTGAATTTTTTGAACAAAGCGTGGGGAGATTGTTGAAGCCCATATAGGGCCTTCATTTACCTGCATGCCAAAAGCATTTT